GAGGTTGCGGTGAGCCGAGATCGCGCCATTGCACTCCAGCCTGGGTAACAAGAATGAAACTCCGTCTCAAAAAAAAAAAAATTTATTATTATTGTTATTTTGAGACTGAGCCTCACTCTCGCCCAGGCTGGAGTGCAGTGGCACAATCTTGGCTCACTGCAACCTCCGTCTCCCGGGTTCAAGTGACTCTTCTGCCTCAACCTCCTGAGTAGCTGGGATTACATGCTCGCGGCACCACGCCCAGCTAATTTTGTATTTTTAATGGAGACAGGATTTTACCATGTTGGCCAGGCTGGTCTTGAACTCCTGACTTCAAATGATCCACCTGCCTTGGCCTCCCAAAATGCTGAGATTTCAGGCATGAGCCACTACACCTAGCTGGGTTTTTAATTTTTAATTTGTAAAATTTATTTTTTGAGACAGGGTCTTGATCTGTCCCCAGGCTAGAGTACAGTGGTGTGATCATAGCTTACTGCAGCCTCAAACTCCTGGGCTCAAGTGATCCTCCTGCCTCAACCGCTCTAGTAGCTGGAAACTCAGGTGTGCCCTAGCACCCCTGGCTGATTAAAAAAAATTTTTTTATAGAGGCAGGGTCTTGCTGTGGCGTTCAGGCGGGTTGTGAATTCCCGGCCTCAAGCAATCCTCCTGCCTTGGCCTTCTAAAGTCAAAGTACTGGGACTGCAGATGTGAACCACTGCCTGGCAATACGTTGGTTTTAGTTTAAGCTTCATCACTTGCCTTTGTTAACGCTGAAACCCTCTGACCTCTGTTTGATCATGTGTGAAAGGACAAGGGCCATACTTCTTTGGTCATGTTCGTGGGAGAGTAGTAATAAATTTTAAGTGAAATAATACATATAGGAGGCCAAGTGCTCCATGCCTATAATCTCAGCACTTTGGGAGGCCAGGGTGGGTAGATTACCTGAGGTTGGGAGTTCAAAACTAGCCTGGCCAACATGGTTAAACCCCGTCCCTACTAAAAATACAAAATTAGCCAGACGTGGTGGCATATGCCTGTAATCCAAGCTACTTGGGAGGATGAGGCAAGAGAATCACTTGAACATGGGAGGCGAAGGTTGAAGTGAGCTGAGATGGTTCCATTGCGCTCCAGCCTGGGCAACAAGAGCAAAACTCCATCTCAAAAAAAGGAAAGAAATACGACATATAAGAGGTGTTTGAAAATGGGTAGATGGCTGTGCAGAAACGGTGGACATAATTCATCCAGCCTGAGCTTTTCACCTTGGATCTGCCAAAAGTCTGACTTGGTGTCTCCAGGCCATGACTGGAAAGCAGCCACCTCCTTTGCTGCTTCGTGGCTCTGCTAGTTGAGCAGCCTTCATGGTTAGGGCCAGGACTGCTCTTACTCCACAGACCCCACAAAAGCGGATGCCTGGGCTGCTAGGTGATTCCTGTGTGGGTTTGATTTCAGGATTTATTCAAATCCCAGAGAATAACAAATATATCGTTTTTGCCTTTAAGTACCAAAAAACTGATTTCTCTTTCATAGGCAGGGAAGCCCACGAGGAGATAAACATCACCTTCACCCTACCTACAGCGTGGAGCTCAGATGACTGCGCCCTCCACGGTCACTGTGAGCAGGTGGTATTCACAACCTGCATGACCCTCACGGCCAGCCCTGGGGTGTTCCCCGTCACTGTGTAAGTGTTCCCAGCACCTGGTGAAGAATGCACGTGGTGAGCTCCACTTGCCGTGAGTACGGCTGGGCTGCTTCTCCAGTAAATTCTCATGACTGCCCGCTTCACATTTCTTTATAGAATTGTCTCTACTCAGATCTCTCTAACGGATGATTTAATTTGGAAATGTAAAGCTAGAACTTCCGCATATAAAATCAGAAAGTTAGTGCCCCTCGAGGCAGTAAAAGCACCTGGTTGTTGTTGGCATTCATGGGCTGCCTTTCCTGCAGGAGTAGAAGCAGCAGGTCACAGAAGAGAGGCTCATCATGGCCAGGTATGGTGGCCCAGGCTCCCTACACCGTGGGAGGCTGAGCGGGGAGGCCCACCTGAGCCCCCAAGTTCAAGACCAGCCTGGACAACATAGTGAGACCCCGTCTCTATTTAAATATTTTAAAAAGAAAAGAGGCTCTCTAAAGGTAAAGATTTTCAGCCAGCTGGGATGGCTCATACTGTAATACCAGCACTTTGGGAAGCCAAGGTTGGCAGATCACTTGAGGGCAGGAGCTCAACACCAGCTGACCAACATGGTGAAACCCTATCTCTACTAAAAATACAAAAATTAGCTACATGTGGTGGCACATGTCTGTAGTCCCAGCTACTCGGGATGATAAAGCAGGAGAATCTCTTGAACCTAGGAGGCAGAGGTTGCAGTGAGCCGAGATCATGCCACTCTGTACTCCAGCCTGGGTGACAGCAAGACTCCATCTCAAAAAAAATAAATAAATAAAATAAATAAAAGTTTTGTTCATCTCCATTATCCAGAAGGATTGATTATAGTGTATCTTGATTTTAGTTTTAAATCAAGTATAAATCAAAACTTATTTTCCATTAAGCAATTACTAATTTTAAAATGTAACATTTTAAGTAATTTCCCATTAAACAATTACTAACTTTAACTATGAATTTGAAAATTAATTTTAAAATCGAGTAGAAACTGAACTTTATTTTCCATTAAACATTTATGGCCGGGCGCGGTGGCTCAAGCCTGTAATCCCAGCACTTTGGGAGGCCGAGGC